TATTTTTCTGCACATCTTTTCGTAAAAATTCAAAAATTTATTAAAATAACTTGTTCCCAAACGAGATGAACAAATGAAAAATAATTATATGATGCTATATAGTTAAAATGGCACACTATAGGAGATATATGCCTGGCTTAGGCCTCGTTTGACAAGTGCTTATTTTAGTCTAAAAGTCAAAAAGTTACTAAAAAAATCAAAAAAACTTATAATCTATACCAAAAAGTCAAAGATTTCATTTTCTTTCTATTTTTTGCACATCTTTTTGTAAAAAATCAAAAATTTATTCCAAACATGCTACTTTTTTTTCCCACACTCATGTGAGATATTTGGTCATTCATTTGGTAGAAAATTTGGGACTTATAGCATTTTCCAATTTTTATATAGTGAGTGGGCTGAATTTGATTAGCTAATGAGCAATAAAAACTTGTATTGGAGCATCTCTAATGTTAATAGGTATTTTACCTATCTAAACATTATCACTACAAGAAATAACAGTTTTGCCGACTAAAATATTAGTCGCCAAAGGTCACTTTTTTAGTCGCCAAAACCAATTAGCGACTAAATTTTTTTGTCGCCAACTTAGTCGCCTAAACCCTGTCGGCGAATGTTTTAGCGACTAAACGTGTGTATGGTCGCTGAAAGTGAAACATTTGGCTACTATTTTATTTAGTCGGCAAAACCTACCTTTTAGCTACTAATTTTTTGTTGGTCGGCAAAGGGCCAATGTTTGGCTACTGAATTATTGGTCGCCAATAATCAATTATATTTTTTAAAATTATACATTCACCGACCAATGTTTTAGTCGCAAATACTCAAGGAATCAGTGACCAAACCTTTTAGTCGCCAAAAGTGATTTCGTGAAAAAAAAATTACACTCTCTCTTATGGAGATTCGAACCATCAACCTCCCACACCTTAAACCTTATACAACACCTTCTTTCCACTACACCTCCATAACACCATATGATTATGTATGCAACATATATTATTTATATAGTACATAGACCCATATTAATATAAAAGTATATATATAAAGAATAATTAATTTTTATTGAACATAATTTATGTAAAAATAAATTTATTAGAAAAAAGAAGAGAACACTTTTGGTGACTAAACATAATTTTAATCGCCAATTCTATACTCTTGGCTACTAATAATTTTTTAGTCGTTAAAAATAAAATTCCCGCGCTAAAATTACTACTTTTGGCGACTAAACTTCTTTTTAGTCACCAAATGCCTCACTCTTGGCTACTAAATTATTTTGTAGCCAAAAACCGTCACTTTTGTCTACTAAAATCCTTTTAATCTGTAAAGGCCTCACTTTTGGCTACTAAATTTTTTTTAGTCGCCAAAGGGCCTAACTTTTTGGCTACCAAAATTTTTTTAGTCGGTAAAAGCCTCACTTTTGGTGACCAAACATCAATTTAGTCGCCGAATGCCTCACTTTTGGCTACTAATTTTTTTTAGCCGCCAAAGGACCTAACTTTTGGCTACTAAAATTTTTTTAGTCGGTAAAAGTCATATATCGGCAACCAAACTGATTTTTAGTCGCCAATTATTATACTTTTGGCAATTTTTTTAGTCGCCAAAAATCTTTACTTTTGGCTACTAATGCTTTTTTAGTCGCCAAAAGCTATACTTTCAGTGACCAATTTTTTTTGGTCAAGAAATTTGGTCGCCAAATGTGCTTTTTCCTGTAGTGTATTATATAGTATACATTTTATTTTGTCTATCAATTATTTTATGTTTCTATTCCAACTATACTCTTAGCTATTCATCCAAATATTATTAACTTTATAGAATGTCACACCAGTAATAAAAATAGAGAGAAATGATCTTAATGATTAAATACATTTTGCCTAACTTTTGAAAGCTAGCTAAATGTAACTAGTGAATGTGAGTTGAGCTAAAATGCCTAATCATATGCCAGTGTATTGGAGTTAAAAAAAAAGTGAGATATATTAGGTATTTTGACTAACAAGCATTATATACCTACTGAGTTAGAGATGCTTTAACATGGATATTATTAATGTATATAGGTATAAATTTTGTAGTTATACTCTTCTCTTATGGCTCTTGTCAACCATAATATGGGTGGGTGTGGTGACATTAAATCGAAAACTAAATAGAGGGATTCGATTTTAATAGATGGATTTATTATTCAATAGGTCATATGATGGTTATTTATATTTTTTATCAACCACTATTAAAAAATGTCAATAATTGTTAATTTTCAGTGACAGTTTGAAAATTTTGTTGTAAAAAAGTCACTAATTATAAGTTCTAATGGATGCTTCCACTGATCTTGCGGCTTTTTGGTTAGTGTTTTAAAATTTGGAGTTGATTAAAGTGTAAATTATATGACCCTTCTATATGTCATTCATTCTTGCATTTATACTTATCCACGTTTAATCTAGCATCTGATCTGCATGATTTATATAATGCATCTCTCCATGTTTCTTCCTATAAAGATATAAATTATATGAGATCTGAGCGAAGAAGCTGAAGACAAGCTAAAGAAAAGTTGAAAAACTCTCTCGAAGGCAGATCTCTCTCGAAGGTAGATCTGAGCGATCTTGATCTGGTAACAGAGATTAACGAGATGGAATGAGGAGGGTGGAAACCCATGGTTAGGAGAAGATTCGCAGGATATTAGTAAGCTAGAGTAAGAGGTCCAGGAATGTTCACCGTTTTTGTGGATAATCTACCAGAATCGATAGAACCAAGAGATTTGTTCAATCTATTTGCCAACTATGGAGTGGTGAAGGATGTTTATATTTCGAAGAAGAGAAAAAAAATTTTGGGTACAAGATTTGGGTTTGTGAGGTATGATTGTCAAGTTGCAGCAAGCATGGCAGTTCAAAAAGCTGAAGGGTTATGGTGTGATAATAAGGCACTGAAGGTACGATTAGCGGCGTATGGAAGTCAAGATCATAATTCGAAGATACAGGAACCAAGAAAGGTGAATACCAATCCTACCAAACAGAGGGTGCATTGGCAACCAGCAGAGGGGGAAAAAGGCTAGAGATCTTATGTGGATACAGTATGAGGGTTAAATAAAGATGTCAACAGGCTTTCTGTTCAAGATGAAGAGACTGGTAATGGCTGGCTCTACGAGAGTTTAGTAGTACAGTTAAAAACATTCTTTACTTTTGTTGATTTTAAAAAGGAGTGTCGTAAAAGAGGGTTAAAGGATGTGAATGTCAGAGATAAGGGGGGAGGGGGGTAGAAGTGCATTGCTAACATTCAAGTTTGTGGAACAGATGAATGAATGGAATGTAAGATTGGAGGAATGGGTATATGAGTGGTGTACGTCAATGGAGGAATGGAAAAAGGGGAGAATGGTTGAAAGTGAAAGGTGTGTTTGGTTATTTTGTTTTGGCATACCTTTTAATTTGTGGAACAGAAGAACGTTTAATGACATTGGGAGAGTTTGAGGTGATGTAGTTCAATTGGATGAGCATACAAGCAACCCAGTTTCCTTTCAATGGGGTAAAGTAAGGATAATCACAAAAAACAGAGAGTTTATCAACAAAGTGGTAACACTTAAATGTAAAGGGAATTATTATCTAGTTCGGTTGTGTGAAGAGTTAAGTTTCCCATTAGGGATAAACACAGGACTGGACAATACTTAGATTAATGAGGCTATGAATTCTCATTCTGGCAGTAGGTAGGATATGGTATCTGGCACCATTATAGGGCAGAAGGAATTGGTCAAGGAAGGTGAAGGTGGTGATGATGTGTTACTTAGTGCATAAGTGGCAAGCAGGGTTAAGGACACATTGGAGAGGGGAGCATCAAGGCTAGAAAGAAGGGGCAGCATGGGGGCAGCAGCATCATTGAGCTATGTAGATGAAGGCTTAGGAAACTCAATAGGTGGGGGCTCTGGCTGTGATGGAATAATGAAGTCTGTGGAAAAGTCAAGAGACAAGGTGAATGGGAGCATTCGAAATGTTGATGCCAATATATTCACATAAGGGCTTATGAAGAGCCTGAGAGGATCTGAAATGGGTAGGCCCAATATTAATTTAGAAGTAGTGCTGTATGGAGCCCAGAGTGAAGCCAATCAAAGTAAGCCCAATAGACATTCGTGGTCAAATTTGAGTGATTGTATAGGCCAGACACAGTTCAATCAAGTAGGCTCACAAGCAGTCCAAAAGGATGGAGAGAGCAGTTGTGCACTAGTTCGAAGAAGGGTTCTCAGTAGAGTAAAAGGAAATAAGAGATGTGATAGAGGAGTTAGGTTTAAAGGTAAGTCATTGCCCTTACATAGTGGAAGGGTGCTTCCACAAAGCAATGAATACTAAGTCCAGTAGAAGAAGCAGAATGATGATTATGAAAGCTAAGGCAACAGTCCAGATGGGGTAGCAACTTGGCATAAATTTTGAAGGCAAAGAAGAAGAAGCTATAAACAAAATTATTCAGATGGAAAAACAGGATTTCGAAAGGATTGAAAGGAGGAGAATGGCTGTTGAAACCTAAGTAGCTAATGTAGGGGAGCAGGTGTAATATTTGGTTCCTTATGAAGATAATGACATGGAATGTTAGAGGTCTAACAAGACCAGAAAAAAAGAGGAAAATAAAGGCAGTGATAAAAGAGGGAGAATGGATGTAGTGCTATTACAAGAAACAAAAAGGAGTAGCATGGATGAAGAGTTCATGAAGCAGATGTGGCCATTTGAGCAGATGGAGTTCATAGGGGTGGATGCAGAAGGTACTGCAGGAGGTTTGTTATACATTTGGAATCTAGATAGATTCAGACTTGAGGAGTGCTGTAGCTAAAGACAGTTTGTTATGCTTTCAGGAATTACTGGAGTGGATTTTAAATACACTATAGTTAATATTTATGCCCCAAATGATGTAGTTAAGATGAGGCAATTATGGGAAGCTCTAGGTAGACTAAAAACCCATTACACTGACCTTTGGTGTGTGGGTGGTGATTTTAATGAGATTAGGCATATTAGTGAAGAAATGGATGCTCAAGAAAGGATAGAGGCATGACTGATTTTGATGGGTTAATTGATCAATTAAGTCTAGTGGACCTGCCTATGTTGGGAAGAAGTTTCACATGCTGTAATGCTCAAGATGGGGAGAGATGGAGCAAGATAGATAGGTTTCTCTTGGATAGTAGGTGGCTTGAGGAATATTCATTTAAGCAATGGGGACTGCCTAGAAGTATATCTGATCATTGCCCAGTATTGTTAAAGGGAGATGTTAGGAATTGGGGTTCAAAACCATTTAGGTTTATTAATGCTTGGTTACTCCACCCTAAGTTCATAGTTGAAGTGAAGAAGTCCTGGGAGGAAGCTGTTGATCCAGGATGGGCTGGATTCAGACTAAAGAGGAAGTTAGCTAATCTGAGGGCCCATCTCAAAAAATGGAATTCTGAGGTTTTTGGAAATGTGGATGTTCAATTAAAGAGGGCAGATGAGGAGTATCATGAATTTGATTTGGTAGCTAAATCAAGGACTCTATTTGAGTCTGAAACACTTAGAATGAGGGTTGTAAGAAGTCTTGTGTGGAGTTTGAGAAGGAGAAAAGAGAGCTTATGGCATCAAAAATATAGAATTTTGTGTGCTAAATGTGGTGATAAGAATACAAGGTTTTTCCACATGATGGCAAGTTCTAGGCAAAGGAAAAATATGTTAGATTCGATTGTGGAAGGGGGGAGTGAGGTTGGTGGAACCAGATGAAGTTAAACAGGCAGTGTTTAATTACTTTGCAAGAAGATTTACTGAGGAGTGGTGTTCAAGGCCTAAACTATCTGGCATATTTTCATCTATGAACTCTATGCAGAATGATAATCTGGTAGCAGCATTCACAAAGCAAGAGATTTGGGAAGCTATACTGATTGTGATGGGAATAAAGCTCCTAGGCCAAATGGGTTTAACATGGCTTGCATTCAGAAATGCAGGAAGATAATGAAGAGTGAGATTCTATAGTTCATGACTGAATTTCATGAGAATGGTAAGCTGGTTTCAGGTTTGAAAGTTCTTTTATCACTTTGATACCAAAGAAAGAGAACCCAAGTGATTTAGGTGATTACAGACCAATCAGCCTTGTTAGTTCAATTTATAAAATTTTAGCTAAAGTTTTGTCTAGAAGGCTAAAGGAAATATTGCCATCAATTACTAGTGAAGTCCAATCAGCATTTTTGGGAGGAAGGTTTATCCTAGATGGCGTATTAATTGCTAATGAAGTGATGGATTGGTGGAAATCATCTAGAATGAGAGGCATTATTTTGAAATTGGACTTTGAAAAGGCTTATGATTTTGTAAATTGGGAATTTCCTTTTTCAATGATGATGAATTTTGAATTTGGAGAAAAATGGGTGAAGTGGATCAAAACATGCATATCAGCAGCTAAGATCACTATATTGGTAAAATGGCTCGCCATCTGCTGAATTTATACCTCAAAAAGGGCTTTGGCAGGGTGATCCATTATCACTATTCTTGTTTAACATTGCTGCTAAAGGTTTGAATTTACTGATTGAAAGGGCAAATGAGTTGGGTTATTTAAGAGGGCTAACTATAGGGCCTAATGACTTGAAGGTTTCTCATTTGCAATTTGCAGATGATACTGTTATTTTTTGTGAGGCGGATAGAGTGAAATTGGTCACTATAATGAGAATCTTAAGGTGTTTTGAGTTAGTGTCTGGGTTAAAAATTAACTTCCACAAGAGTGTGTTGAGTGGGGTTGGTGTTAATGAGGAGGATATCAAAGATTTTGTCTCAGTTCTGCACTGTCATAGCCAAAAGCTTCCTATTACTTATTTGGGTATACCTCTTGGGGCAAATCCAAGAAGAAAGAGTACTTGGAAACTAGTGATTGAGAAAATCAAGAAGAAATTGGCTTCATGGAAAGGAAAAATGCTCTCCTTTGCTAGTAGAATCACATTGATTAAGGCAGTTCTATCCAGTCTACCATCATATTTCCTATCAATTTTTAAACTACTTGTGGGTGTGGCTAAGCAGTTAAAGAGGATTCAGGCAGCATTTTTGTGGGGAGATTCTGATACAAAAAAGAAACTTCACATGATCAACTGGAGGGAGATATCAGTAAGCATTGAACAAGGGGGTTTGGGGGTAAGAAATCTTGGAGAGGTCAATGATTGTCTTCTACTTAAATGGTGGTGACGGTTTGGGTTAGAGGATAGAGCTCTGCGGAAACAGATTATATGCTGTAAGTATGGTGTGGTAGGGGGCAGGTAGGTCCCATTTAGTTCTACTACTGCTTCAGTGTCCAAGGTTTGGAGTGATATCCTCAAACTTGTTGATAGAAGACCTGCTTTGGTTGAGTTTTATTTATTAAACCTTAAAATATCAGTAGGGAATGGGGGTAGAATTCAGTTTTGGTATGATAAGTGGATGAACAACCTATGCCTAAAAGAGGAGTTTCCTAGATTGTATAGCTTGTCAGAGGAAAAATGTAGCTCTGTTCAGCAGATTTACCAAATGAGGGGTCATTCAAATGAGTGGAACCTAATGTTCAGAAGATCACTGTTAGCATGGGAGGAAGAGGAGGTATAAAGATTGTATGAGTTGCTTAGGGTAACACCTAATCTCTCTTTGGAGTCTGAGGATTATTGTCAGTTGGGGGTGTAGACACCCCATTTTTGACCCTCCTCAAGACTTGGACGTCACCGTTTGAACACCCGGTGATCATCCATGTTTGTGTTTGTTTGGAGTTCCCAGAGGTCTCGGCTACGCGCCTTGCCTCAGGATCTCCGAACTCGACTGTTTAGTGTCTGATTTTGCACCAAACACTTGTGTTTTGTCTTGAAGGGGCAGGGAATGCCTTGTGAGACATCCCCACACATCACCGACCATGGCCAGAGGCCACCGGCTGGGGTTTTGGTGCCATCGCCTTGGAGGGGCAGGGAATGCCTTGTGAGGCATCCCCACACATCACCGGCCATGGCCAGAGGCCACCGGCTGGTGTTTTGTTCCCATTGGCAACATATATTGCCGGTCGGCACTCTTTGTTGCCGGTCGGCACTACTTTTTTACAAAATGGCAATTTTGAGTAGCCGATTACTATTCATCTTCTTTTGTAGATATTTTAAGACAGCTGTATGGCATTTTGTTCCCCTCCATACACGTGTATGGAGGGATGGCCTTCTTGTTAGCTTACCTTGTAAGCTTTACAAGATTGGCCCCTCTATAAGAGGAGCCCTCCTCTCTTGGCTTTAGTGTTGGACAAAAAGGTTAGAAAATATACAGAGGAGAGCTCTGGATTAGGGTTAGGGTTTGTGTCTCACCTATCTTTATTTCTCTCTTTCTTTTTACCTTTGTGTGTGTAAAAGTGCATTTGTGTCTTACTATTGCACACAAACACATAGTGTTACACCTTCCCTTGGCTACTGAGGTTCTAAGAGGTTGTTCTTGAGTTTTTTGGGTGGTTTTGAGCTTGGAGGAGCAGCTGGTCCACCATTGTTGAAGAGGTCTTCAAGGGTAACAATCTTGCCCCTTTTTACCCCTTTCTTGAATTGCATTTTTGCCTATCTTAGAACTGTTTTTGAGCTTAGTGTATAATATAAAAAAGTTCTGTTTTTAGACCCTCTAAATAGTTTGTTTAGAGTGTTTTGTGGTTTGGAGGTGTTTGACCCCTCTTAGGCCTTGAGAGGTCCCATTTTGTGCTATTTTGAGTGAGCTCCGGGACCTTGGTGTTTGGGCCTCCTCACCACTGAAATCTTGAGGGATTTCAGAGGTGAGGATGGTGCCTTGAGGTCCTAGGGAGGAGAGGGCCACCCCCTCTCCTTGTTGTCCTTGAAATGGACCATTTTTTGCCTCTTGAGGGAGCACCCAGCTAAGCTTCTTGTTGACCATGCCTTAGCTGATTTTTGTGTCTATTATGTCATAATATGCTTCTGTTTTTAATTGGTTTTGGTACACCATGCATGCTTAGCATACCTACCTTGTAATGCCATGTGTAGGCCTTAATATGCCCTAGGTTGTAAGTCCTTGTTCTAGCATAATTTAGGCCTAGCTTTGTGAAGCTTTAGTGCATGTTTTTGTATGCTTTAGCTCTGTTTTAAATTGCTTGAGTCATACTTGCTATGCATTGCATAGCTCCTTTGCATTTTTGGTTTGTTAGCCTTAAGTTTTGGAGCATGTTGCATGCTTAGCCTATCTTGTTTGCTTGGTTTGGCACCATCTTAACATGATTCCAGAGCTTACATTGCATGTCATTAGTCCATGCTTAGCCTCTTTTAAATGTGATTGAAAGTTGCCTTTGTTTGCTTAAGCATAGGCCCATTAACATGTGCATGTGTGCAAGTGTGTTTGGTCCCATTTCTTAAGTTTTTGGCCACTGTTTTTGGGCCTAGTTAGGGCTGCCTAACTTAGTCTAAGACCACTCTTATATGTTGTAGCGTGCTTACCTTGCATGTTGTAATACATTTGGCCCCTTTGGTATGTTGTTACATTCTATGGTGGTATTACATTTAGCATGTATTCCTTGCCAAGTTGTCTAACTTGTTGTATGCCTCACATGTGTGCACATTGGCACTACACATTGCATGCGTGTTGGTAGCATCCTTGCATTCCTATGTCGCATCCTTAGTTCACATGCTTAGGATTGCATTCCATTTGCATGCATGCTTGGCCCCTTGAAATGCATGTGATAGAGGTTGAGTCCCATTGGTTTGCTTATGTGCATTGCATTCCATATCCAAATGCACATTTGATTCTTTGGGCCATCACGCATAGAAATGCGCGATTGATGGTCCGAGAACCAAGAACCATACCCCTTTGAGTCATACACATGATAAGGGATAGGATTGGTGCATACATTGCTTGAATTGCATTGCCATGCTCTGCCTTGCCCTCTGCTGCTGTCAATTGCAGGTTCTGCAGGCACTTTCTGCCGGCCGGCCGTGTTAAGTGCCGACCGGTAATCCCTCCTGGGCTGATAGCTTCACCAACAGCCGGTGATCACATACCACTGCCGGTGGCCATTCTACTCAGCCGGTGGTGTCTCCCAATGTCCAGGGAAGCAATCCTGAGACTTTGGCAGCCTTCAGAGGAGTATAGCAGGGAAAACAGAGGCAGCTTGTGCATGGCAGTGCACTTCCGAGCAGGACCGAGCATGCATTGCATTGGGCTCTCTTCCCGAGGCGGTTTATCTGCTTTCCCTAGATTAGTTAATTTGCTTGGCTAATTAGATGGCCTGTAATATTTAATTAGTTTGTAGGTTAATTATCTGTAATATTTATTCGGTCCCTCCGAGCGAGGGCAAATTTGTAATAAGTGTGGGTGAGTGTGTGCATGTCTCCCAACCCCCACTTCTTTCTTCCCTTTTATTTACCTGCTTGTGAAGGTAGATTAGGACACGTTTAAATTAGCATACCATATGCTATGCATGCGTGCATCCATACATTTGTCTCGCATGCACCAGGCTCGGTACATCATGCTAACTGCATTTGTACTTCAATTCCAAATTGAATACGTGCATCAATTGATTGTACTTCACATGCCATGTTTAGGTTAGCCGAGCCTGCTCCAATTGTATCATGTATGTGTTGCATTAGTCAATTTGACATAAACTAGGACCATGCATGTTGGCTAACTGGTTTATTGTTTTGGCATGGAGTACGATGTAAGTATTTTTATGCTTTAGCATATCGCATGTGTGTGAATGCTATCATAACAGCATGTTTACCATGTGGCTAATTGCTTATGTGATAAACTGTTTGGATGCCTGCGGGTGAAGGTTGGATTGTTTGAGTTGGAACAACTCATCAAAATCCGTGTTTTAGCCTACTCGTGAGTAGCAAATTTCAAAACATTTTCCAAACAAACGGATATGTAATGTTTTGTTCCAATTTAGGCGACTTGGTCTATACTTGTTTGCTGTGCGCACAACATAGTAATTCTAGGCTAATAATCGGAATAAGAACACATAATGCTTTCAAAACAAGATATCACGGTTAGTAGAGACTGATCTTCGGATCGGGCGAAAGGGGGTGCTCATAGCTGACCTTCCCCAATCGTACCCAAGTTCCCGAGCCGAGGCAACTTTGGTGATGACGGACATGTGGCCTTTGGCACCGAGTCAGGGTTTCCTAAATTCCCCCAAAATAAAATATTTAGGTGGCGACTCTGTATCTGGCAAAGCAGTCCATGTTTGGCACTTCTTTTAAAAAATCTGTTTTCTCAAAACGATTTGCCAGATTTGGACTCTTTGGTTCAGATTAAGAACTGTGACACAAATTGAGTCCGAGCTATAGCGCGGGGCCCCACGCGGGCGCGTCTACAGGGGGCCAATCCAGATGGGTCATTTACAGTAGCAGCAGCCTGGGAGTGGTGGATGTCTTCAAAAGGTCCAACTCTCACTGTTACAAAGGCTTTGTGGAAAAATCTTGCTCCTCCCAAGGTAAAATTTTGTGGCTGGTTAGCTTGGAGAGGTAGACTTAAAACTGCAGCTATGCTAAAAAATTTAGGAGTGTTAAATGAGGAATCAGTTTCACTGTGTATGTTTTTTAAATCAGAGGAGGAGACAGTTCATCATCTGTTGTTGTTCTGCCCATTTGCATAGAAGGTGTCACGCCCCCAAACCACCCCTAGTAGTCTGGTGTGGGTATTACCTGGTTCAATTGAGGATCTGCTACTCTGGTGGTCAGGAGTCAAATTCAGTAAGGTGATTCTTAGATTGTGGAAAGTGGTACCTCTAACTGTTTTGTGGTCATTATGGAAAGCAAGGAATGAAGGTCTTTTTTGTGGCAAACCAGTAGATTGGATAGACTTAGCAGAGTTAGTGAAGGTAAGGTTCGCCCTTTGGAGTAAATTGAATATCGCGGGGATGCATTCAGTGCAGGAGATAGTCACTAATTTGTATCAGATTATGGCTTCTACTGGAATTAGTAGGTTGCCTTTTGGTTGATGTTTTGTGCTGAGCTACAGAGGCATAGCCATTCTGTTCTGGGAATGTCTGTGGTGTTTGTGTCTCTTCTGGTTTATGAAGCTAGGTGTACTTCAGGGGAGCTTCTGTGGTATTGCTACTACCTCTGCTGTTCTGTTGTGGGAGCTGCTGTGGTATTGCTACTGCCTTTGCGTTGCTGCTACTACCTTTGCTGTTCTGGGAGTGTTTGTGGTCATTACAGGGGAGTTTCTGCAGTTCTGTTACAACTGCTGCTATGTTTGTTTCTCTTTTTCTTTTTTTGCTGTTTCGATTGGTTCCTCACCAATCTTGGGTTTTGTCCCAGCTTTGTTGTTGTAAGGTGGAATGTTTTCTGCTTCCTTCATCAATAAAGTTGTTTGCTTATCAAAAAAAAAAAAAAAAAATAAAATTTTATGGGCAATTTTAAATAAAAATACCACTCACTTAATTCTTCAACGTCGGGGTCAAGCAAGGTCCAAGTCCTACAATCACAGGGCAAAGCCTATTGAATGCACCTTCAACAAGTTTCGTATGTACACAAATGGTTTCGGAAAACATGCTGGGCACCAACCAGGTCTAGGCCGAGGTTCCACACCTCCTCGCCGAGGTGTGTTCCCGAGGGCCACATGCAAGGAAAAGAGGTCGGGAAACTCTGGGTTTCCCTCTGCTGATGAATATGAAGAACATGAGTATGAAAACATGGAAAATATGAATGTTCGATCGCAATCTGTTATCACAAATCTGGGATTTTCATGTTACGGGTTTGAAAACATGGACCTGGGTACCCATAGTTGAAAATCATGCAAGAACAAACACAAAACATGAGTCTAGGCAGAAAGCTTTCGAATCAAAACATGACTTTTTCTTGAAGAACACATGAATGTCATTTTCTCTTTCTAAAACCGAATTTCAAGACGATGCATGGCTTACAAATCATATCCGATCATGCAATGCAATATCATGAACATAAAGAACATCATGAGCAGATCAAGAATCTAACCTTAGAACACGAATCTAACGGTTTGATCTCAAGGAATCAAGCTTGAAGACTTACTTTCTCACTCTAAAACTCCTTCTTCCTCCTAGAGTTTCTCTCTCTACAAGGCAAGGTTATGACACTAAAATGATAAGTGCTCTCACTCGGTTCTGTGCTTAATCCCTCTGTTGGGACACGTGGCGGCGACTGGTTGGGTTCACCCTGAAAAGGTGGCTGACAGACTGGACAAAGCATGGTGGAAAGGTGTTCAACAAGCAAAACGGTATGGGCTTCTTGACAAGGCAATGACATCGGCTAATAACAAGGCGTATTTAACAAGCTACACGGAATGGCACTCCGGCAATGGGTGACATCGGCTAACAAAAGGACTTCAGCACTAAGGTGACAATGACCCCGGCTAGGAAGGACAACACTTGACTAAGCTGTGCCACATCTTGGCCTAAATGCGCCACACCTCGGCCTAGGTCGTACCACTCCAGGACGAGATCGCTTGGGTGCAAGGTAACATCTCGGCTAATGTGTCAAGGCAAGGACGGAGGTCAACAAGGGGTTCCAAGACACTTCTAGACTGAGGATGACCTCGGCTTGGAATGATCTAGGCGTAACGTAACCTAGGCTTGGAATAACATCGGCTAATCATAACTTAGACAAGCACATAACACTTAGACAAATCACAAAGGTATCAAATCAAGGCATGGATCTCACTCACTTAAGCAGGACAAGTCACGAACATATACATGCAAGCTTAACAAACCATAATCATACAAATGCTCATGAACATGATGAGAACATAAAATGTGGGTTCTTACAGAAGGTGTGGACTGATATAATGAAGTGGTGGGGTCTGGTGTGGGTATTACCTGGTTCAATTGAGGATCTGCTACTCTGGTGGTTCGGAGTCAAATTCAGTAAGGTGATTCTTAGATTGTGGAAAGTGGTACCTCTAACTATTTTGTGGTCATTATGGAAAACAAGGAATGAAGGTCTTTTTTGTGGCAAACCAGTAGATTGGATAGACTTAGCAGAGTTAGTGAAGGTAAGGTTCGCCCTTTGGAGTAAATTGAATATCGCGGGGATGCATTCAGTGCAGGAGATAGTCACTAATTTGTATCAGATTATGGCTTCTACTGGAATTAGTAGGTTGCCTTTTGGTTGATGTTTTGTGCTGAGCTACAGAGGCATAGCCATTCTGTTCTGGGAATGTCTGTGGTGTTTGTGTCTCTTCTGGTTTATGAAGCTAGGTGTACTTCAGGGGAGCTTCTGTGGTATTGCTACTACCTCTGCTGTTCTGTTGTGGGAGCTGCTGTGGTATTGCCACTGCCTTTGCGTTGCTGCTATTACCTTTGCTGTTCTAGGAGTGTTTGTGGTCATTACAGGGGAGTTTCTGCAGTTCTGTTACAACTGCTGCTATGTTTGTTTCTCTTTTTCTTTTTTTGCTGTTTCGATTGGTTCCTCACCAATCTTGGGTTTTGTCCCAGCTTTGTTGTTGTAAGGTGGAATGTTTTCTGCTTCCTTCATCAATAAAGTTGTTTGCTTATCAAAAAAAAAAAAAAATTATAAGTTCTAGTGACAGTTTAAAAAAATTGTCACAAAAAAAGTCATTAATTTTTAATTTTAGTGACAGTTGAAAAATTCGTCATAAAAAAGTCAATAATTGTAAGTTTTTGCGTCAATTTATAAAATCGTGATAAAAAAATCACTAATTGTATATTTTTAACGACATATGCAAAACATCATTACAAAAAAAATATTTTTAGCGACAAATTTGCTAAGACTTATTTTCAAGAGAACTTGATGAGAATTAAATTCAAGTATTAAGACCTATTGATAGTTTACTCTCAAACTTGATGAGATATAAGCCCATTCTACACCATAAAATATGATAAAATTTAAAGAGTAATTATTTAGCAGTGTTAGAGTAACCATGACACCTAGGTTCCATTTGTTTCGACGTAAAATATTTTACATATTTTTTTTTGTAAATTGATTTTACACAAAAAAAAAATGTTTTTATTTTTCGGTGTTTGGTTGACACTTGAAACAAAATATTTTTGCCTAAAAGAGAAATTTTGATTCAATAAAGTATCATTTATGACTTTTTAGTGAGTTAAGATACTTATTTGAAAAAGCTAAATGTGTTGAAAAGGTAGTGAGTGAGAGTCAACTCCATAAAAATTGACTTACGGACTTTTTAAAGGTAAGTCATTTTTGAAAAAATGATGCTAAAATATTTGTTTAACCAAACGGAAAATAAGAAAATATTTTTGACAAAAATATTTTATGTTAAAACAAACAGAGCCATAGTAAAAAATTTTACAAGTGGGATACACTAATTCGATTTTGTTAGATAGTTAAGAGACAAAAGATAACTTACTTAGTCTATATTATAATCTATACTATATATTAAGCAAAATGGAGTTTTTAACCCCAAGGCCTGTGGGAGCTCTAATCTCCTAATCCTAATTTTCTAATTTTTTGATTTAAAAAAAAACCTCAGCATTTATTGACTTCTCCCAACCCACAATCCCTTTTGACTTCTCTCACAATTATTGCAACACCCTTTTCAATTTCTCTCATACACTATGGTTACACACAAAAATAAAATAAAATAAAAAAAGATAAGAATTTAGCTATAGATCTCAAAAAGATATAACATCTAAATTTGAATTATGATTTAATAATATACTTATGTATTTTTTTTATGTATATCTATCAAAATTTTAAATCACTTAATGGGAAAATTAATCAATTTTTCAAAATTATTGATTTTTAATTTATAAAATAGATTAAAAAAAACTATTGACTGATTTATTTATTTAATAACAAAAATATTTCATAATCTCTCCCTCCTAATCTCTCTCACAAATTTTCAAAAAAAAATATTAAAGCTTGCATTCTTTTTCTCTTCCCCAAAAAATCAGATAATATTTTCTATTAAAGTTGTAGATATCTACCTATCTACCTATCTATATCTATCTATCTATACTATATATTAAGCAAAATGAGGTTTTAACCTCAAGGCCTGTGGGAGCTCCAATCTCCTAATTCTAATTTTCTAATTTTTTGATTTTAAAAAAAAAAACCTCAGCATTTATTGACTTCTCCTAACCCAACCTCAGCATTTATTGATTTCTCCCAACCCACAATCCCTTTTGACTTCTCTCATAATTATTGCAACACCCTTTTCAATTTCTCTCATACACTATGGTTACACAGAAAAATAAAAATAAAAAAGATAAGAATTTAGCTATAGATCTCAAAAAGATATAACATCTAAATTTGAATTATGATTTAATAATATAATTATGTTTTTTTTTATGTATATCTATAAAAATTTTAAATCACTTAATGAGACAAATTAATCAATTTTTCAAAATTATTGATTTTTAATTTACAAAATAGATTAAAAAAAACTATTGACGATTTATTTATTTAATAACAAAAATATTCATAATCCTCCCTCCTAATCTCTATCACAAATTTTCAAAAAAAATATAAACTTGCATTCTTTTTCTCTTCCCCAAAAATCAGATAATATTTTCTATTAAAGTTGTAGATATCTATCTAATTTTATATATATATATTATAACATAACACAAAAAAACTAAAAAACTAAAAAAAAAAATCTTTAAAGTTTATCTAAATAAACTTTAAATCAATAAAACTCACATGTCTATCATATATCTTAACTCACACCATAACTTACTTAAATAATAATAATTAAAAACAAATGGAAACCACAGATAAATTAAATTTAAACAAAAGAATACCCACAATCTCATCTATCTTCTATCTATTACTATATATTAAGCAAAAGAGGTTTTACCCAAGCCTTGTGGGAGTTCCAATCTCCCAATCTAAATTTCCTGATTTTTTGATTTTAAAAAAAAAACCCTGTAATTTATTTAAACTTCTCCCGGATCCCCCCAGTCTTACCTTCATAATAACATTTTAATGCGTTAAAAAACAAACATAAAAAAAAATTCTTTGAATCCAACACATATGAATTCATGAATAGTCCCAACACATAATGATTATTATCAAAATATTAATGATTAAGAACAAACATAAAAAAAATTCTTGAAAAGTCTCAACACAGATGATATTATGCCAAATATTAAAATTTTAATATAATATAATATAAAAAAAGAAGACATTTAATTCCTTAAAAAGTTCAATACATATGTATTATTATCAAAATATTAAACTTTAATATAATATAAAAAAGGAAAAAAAAAAAGAACATTTTAAAAAAAAAAGACATTTAAAAATCACATTCACATATTATAGTTAATTGTAAATATATTAGAGGAAAATGGGGTTTCCAAACCCCATGCCTTGTGGGAGCTCCAATCTCTCAATCTTAATTTTCTAAATTTTTGATTCAAAAAAAGAAAAATCTCAGCATTTATTGTTGTCAAAATTTTCTGACCATCATTTATTAACTTTTTTCAATCCACAGCCTACATTTATTGATTTGCGTCAAAATTCTTGATTTAGCATTTAAAATCCTCTCATACAAATAATTATAGATACAGCCCCGTGCATAGTTACCGCGTAACCTTTTTAATTTTTCTTGCTTACACTATGGTTGTGATAAGATCGTTAAATCTATTTTTATAAAAATCTTAAAAAACATAATTTATATATATGAAAAAAAAATACCAACAAATATAAATATGTATAATTATCCCGTGCATAGCACCGGGTGATAGGCTATCTATCTACTTACCTATATATTATAGCAAAAGGGAGTTTTTAACCCCAACCTGTGGCGGCTCCACATCTCCTAATCTAATTTTCTAATTTTTGATGTAAAAAAAAACCTCAGCATTTATTGACTTCTCTCACTAACCCAACCTCAGCATTTTATGACTTCTCTCACCCCAATAATCTCTTGACTTCTCTCATAATTATTGCAACACCCTTTTTAATTTCTCCCATACACTATGGTTACACACACACAAAAAACAAATAAAAAAAAATAATTTAGCTATAGCTAAAAATAAGAATTTAGCTAAAAATAATTTTAAAAAATAGGAATTTAGCTATAAACATATAATCTTAGATTGTTTAATTTATATTATATATATAATTTGTATATTTTTTTATGTATATCTATCAAAATTTAAATCACTTAATGAGACAAAATTAATCAATTTTCCAAAATTATTGATTTTTAAATTTACAAAATAGATTAAAAAAAACTAGTTTGACGGAACTTTATTTATTAATAACCAAAAATATTTCCATAATCTTCTCCCTCCTAATCTCTCTCACAAATTTTTCACAAAAAAAAAATATTAAACTTGCATCTCATTTTCTCTTCCCCCAAAAAATCAGATAATATTTTTATTAAAGTTGTAGATACTGATCTACCTATATTTTATATATTATATTTAAACATAACACAAAAAAAATAAAAACTATATAACTAAAAAAGAAAATCTTTAAATTTATCTCAATAAACTTTAAATTAATAAAACTCACATTGTCTATCACAATATCCTTAACTCGCTTCTATAATTACCCTAAGATAATAATAATTTAAAACAAATAAGAACCACAGATAATTAAATAAAAAAAGAAAGATATCCACAACTCCATCTTAAATAAATGAAAAAAAAAATAACCCGAATAGGAACCACACAAAAATAAAAAAAATAAAAAGATATGCTATCTCATACTATCTATCTAATATCTTACTATATATTGAAGCAAAAGGGATTTTTAACCCCCAATTGCCTATGGGGACCGAAGCTCAAATATGCCAATCTAAATTTTCTAATTTTTTGGTTTTTTAAAAAAAAAAATTAACCTCAACAATTTATTAACTTCTTCTTAACCCCATGAAGACTTTTTGACTTCTCTCATAATTACAGCAGCCGAGTACACTCCTTTTCAAAACAAATAAGTTTGTATATTAAAAGAAAAATTTAAAACAAATTATTAAGATATCTATATCTATATCTATCTATTTATTTTATTATCGTATTCTCCAACCCACAAGTTTCTGGTTGGGAGTTCCAGATATGTCTGAACCTTAATATCTTAATTTTTGTTCGATTTCTTTTTGACATAAGAAAAAAAACTGTGCACTTAATAATTCTTCCAACGTCTTTTTGAACTTCGTCTCAATAACACACTCTTTTTAACTTTTTCCAACAGTACATATTGCAAATAGTGAGTCTTTCTTTTTGTTTTCTCCTGTTGTTGAGCTTCTCACTTCTTACACTATTTCTAACTGTCAGTGACTCACCGTATGGCAACACAGTAAGTCTTTTTTTTTTTTGTTTTCTCCTTGCTTGACTCTTTCTTCTTTTTGTCTTTACTGTTTTTAATCATTGTAGTTAGAGTAGCGACATATAAAATTATTTGTGAGTTGCTGTCTAGCGAATAAAAAATTATAATTTATTTTTTTATATCATTGACTTGAAGTGTAGAATAAATATAACACGCTCACAAAAGAAAATGTGATATTATAATTAGCTGCAATGATTCTTTTTATTTATGTGATTGAGTAA